TCAGCAATAATAATAATAATAATAATAATAACCATAAAGAACGAAGTACTGATACGTGAATGTGCATGGATCTCAGGAACATCACACAGTCCAAGAAGCCAGTTATCTCCAGGGAAGGCAAATCTCCAGGAATAGAACACAGAACCTGGGATGCCTAGGGGCTGGGGCCAAGACTGCAAAATAGGTATCAAGTGAGATTTCTGGGGGGAAGGGAATGCTATAAAACTAGACCTTGGCCTTAACCACACACCTTTATCGATGTGATTAAAAAATCGTTGAATTGTATCCTTACATGGAGTGAATTTTGGTCTGTAACTTATGTCTCAATGAGGCTCCCTAAAAAGCACACCTCGGTTGGGGGCTGGGCTCCAGCAGCAGCAAGCAGCTGAGGCTTCCCGCGGCCCTACTCTGTGTCAGGCATTGCTCTCGGCCCTATACCTGCATTAGTCTATTGATTCCTCCATCAACCTTTTGGGGTAGGTATCCGCACTGCACAGAAGAAGCAGGAGGATGGGGAGGTTAGGAACATGCCCAAGATCATGGAGAGTGGGGCCTCCAGCCCTTAGCACTCTTCAGTCAGTATCTGCGATCAGGAATGGCTAGGTCAACAGTAGCTGTTCACTTCCCCAAAGAGCAAACGTTCCCCAATCTAGGGCCAACCCTGTTCCCTTTTCAGTTCCAGTTCCTCCTCCTCTTCCCCTGCAACCTGTCTGCTCCACCACCACTCCTTGCTGCCCTGGACTATCTGGATTCACTACCAGGCTTGTCTTTGCATCGAGAACACTCGCTGGGGAGTTCGAGATGGGCTCAGAGAAACCAGATTTCCCAGGAGCTGAAGCTGATTCCACAGTGGCTCTTGAGGTTAACTCATTTTCCTTCCATATCGCCGGAACGTTTTTCGCATGAATTACACAGCTCTTTGCAAAATAATACGAGCATAATCATCTTGCACGTTTACAGGATCTTTACGGGAAATAAAGAAAATAGGAATGAGGAACATAGGCATGGTTTGCAGAAAGCAACCTGAACATAGCCGTTCCTTCAAAAGAACCTGTTCTATCCCCTCTGGCCTGAGGCAAATACCTAAATCTTTCCCAAGAAATGCAGCATGAGAACCTTAATAGGCCTGGATACTCAGGTTAGGGAAGAATGCTGCTCTTGATCTGAGGTTACAAGGGACTTTTGCCTTGGCACTACCCCGCAGTTCCTCCCCCACTGCTGGAGAGAGCCCTTCGAACAGAGTGCTGATTTGGAAGAACATGCAACCCAAATCAACACTTCCAGTACAGCCAAGCAGTGGTGGTGTGTGCAGGGCCGGGGCATGAAGGGAGAAAAGCAAGTGGTTTCCCTCAAGTCACGACTCTTTCCCACTGGGTGAGTGAGCCCGGGGTTGGCTGGGTATGAGGTAGATTTCCAGTTGTCAGCCACTCAACGACCACTGAAGCCTGGGGCTTTCTCAATTGCTGTCAATTGGCTTCCCCTGGCTCCCGTTGCCGTGGGTGAGCGTGATGGACAACCTTGAAAAGGTTCTGAGATAAAAGCTTCCTTGTTCCCCTTGCAGATCACACGGAAGACTCTGAAGGCAGAGATCAGCCTAATTAGGGCTGCAGTGCTCCTACAGTTCAAGGGACGGGAAGCTTGAGCTGCCACCAATCTTCAGAGCTCGAGGCTTTCCGTTCACGCCAGAAACCCCCCTCGCTCCAGTCTCCCTGCACTTTGATGAAATTCTAGCTGAAAAAAATAACGAACACCCTGAGCTCTAAAATACTGAGGCCTGGAGAGAACTGTTAGAGGCTGAAGACCCAAACTGAATCAATGGGGTCTTGACCTCCCGTACCCCTCTAGGGGTACATTATGGCCTCAACAAAACCCTCCATGGAGGCCTGGATTAACTCAAAATTGGCTTCTTTCTGGCTTGTGTAGCAGCACCAAGAAAATGTTTAACAGGAAATGCCCCCCATACAAGATTTCTAGAAGGAATTTTCCTAAAATACCAATCTGAGAGTCTCACTGCCCTCATCCTGCATTAAAACCTTCCTTGAGCTTCCTGCTGTCCCAGGATCAAATCTGCATTCTTGGTGGAGCCTGAGGATCTACTCATGAATTATTTCCTCCTCCAGCCGTCTCTCACATCATCTCCCTTCGGTCACAACTCAGCTTCCGATAACTCACCATGCTTTCTTTTTTTCCCCCAGACCTTTTCGTCTTGACCTGTACAGTCCTTCTCATAACCGCTCTGTCTGCTGTCAAGGACTCATCTCGCACAAAATGCTGCTGGATACACTCTCCCCATCTCTCCCCGCCTTCCCTGCTCTGCAGACTGAGTGGTGTGATCCCTAAGCATCCGGTTACATCGCTGTTACAGAGTCCGACCCTACGGCGGTGGCATGGCCTGTGGTCCTGAATGGCTTCTCTAGGGGGGCCTGAAGCTACCTGAGGATGGGGACTCGTTCCCTGCCATCTTGCCGAGGCCCCGGCCCAGTCCACAGTGCACCACGGCTGACATTTCCCCAGTGGATGCGGGAATCAACAATAGCAGACAAAACAGAAAGCTCTGGATGTCTGTGAACAGTGGGCTCTGCAGGAGTCTGTGCTGGGGAGTGGTGTGCAAGGGTAGTTTAATTAGCGTGTATTCCAAATCATAAAGTCCAAGATGAGCTTTCTGGCACCCGGGACACGTGAATGAAAAGCACATGCATGTGCACACGCGCTCATTCATTTTTGTTCCTGCCTTCAGATGGGAGTTACTGTGCACCTACTGTGTGCCAGGAAGGCCGCGTGGGGTATGGAGGTGAATGGACCAGGCATGCTCCTGCATTACGGGGCACGGTGCCCGGTCACTCTAGGGAATGCGACCATCCTGTTGGAAAGGAAAGCTGGTAATAGAGTTACAGATAACAGGCCACAGGAGAACTTTTAAGGACTGGCTGTGATTCAAGAGTCTTCAAATAAACCTGATGAAGAGTCTCTCTCTATGTGGCAGCGAGGAACCATCTTCCCCAAGAGGAAGTGGAGACAGGAGGGGAGGAATCGGGTTTCAGAAGCAGCTGCGGGGATCCTGCATGTGACAGCTTAAAAGTCCCTGCCAGTGGAGAACCCGCAGGTCCTCTCACACCCGCGGGAAGGTGAATGAAGATGACAAGCCCAGCGCCGGGCCACCGGCCCCCGCCTGCGGCCCTGGCCATGCTACGAGGACACGCCTGCACTCAGACCAAACCAGCATCGAACCTGGAGTCCATGACACGTTAGCCGGAGACTGTGAATCTTGGTCCCGCCACCCAGAGAGGGGGGCTGTTCCTGCCGCCTCCTGGGATATGGGGAGGACCGAATGAGACAACGCGCTGGGACGTGTTCCGTACGCACTGCTGTGAAGTCTGCATGTAAAGGGCTGCTCGGGTTAGGATGCTGATGAGGTTGTGGCCAATCAAGGCACTACACTGAATGAGAAGACTGAATGAGACGGTGATTCAGATGCTTAGTCATATTATATCCCATTCTATGATATCGCAATATAATAATACACTGTGATAGGATACACGATATCATCTATTAAGTGATCAACAGTACTCGTTCGCATTTATGGAACACTACGGGCCAGCCCTGTACTAAGCATTTCCTGCCCCGTGACGTCTATTATTATCCTTATTCTACAAGAGAGGAAACTAAGGCCCAGAGAGGTGGAGTAAGGCACCCAAATCATAAAACCAAAAACTTGTGAACCCAGAAGGCGGGGCTGCACAGCATGCCCTCTGGCCATGAACAGGCACCCGGAATACCAGATACGCTTCCTTTAAGCCTCTGCCCACCGCTCTCCCTCTCCAACAGCAGCGTCCAGGACTGCCCGGGGCTCTCCAGCCTGTTGCCTCAAACCTTCCCTTCGAAACCTACCTGGGACCTCCTGTCTACACTACTTATATTTGCAACACACTATTTCTATTTTAGCCTGCACGGTCCTCATCCCCTATTGTGTAAAGATCTCTTGATCATCCCAAGACACTTTGCTTTGCCTTTTAAAAGGAGACCCCCATTCCTGAAATGTGGTCAAGGAGTTCATAGTGCTTTGCCCACAGGGGTTCTGCATCTGTCTATTTGTAGCTCTGAGCTGCTTTTGAAGACTAAGGAATTAAAATGTTACAGAAGGATGCCAGTGGTGCTTTTGGCCTTTACTGCCACAAGCACAAGCCAGAGTTTGCAAGCTCTCTTGGGGGTGGTGGACTCTTAGGCCCCCCTCCCCCACTTTAGCACTGAAGCCCTCCTTTTATCTGTTTTATTCTTAGGCTTCATGTAACGTTTCATTTGAAAAGGGGTCGTGTTTGAAAAGATATTTGAAAACCACTAAGAAGTCCTAATATATTTGGAATTATTGAACATATATTAAAGGAATGCTTAGAAACCCCTGGTTTCAGCCCCTGCCTTTCTTAGGGTAAGAAACAAAGATCAGGCAGGACCAGTGAACTGTCTCTCTGTTCCCCTCCCTACCTAAGTCCTCGTGATGTCCCTCTGAACCAATTCAGGGCACAGGTCTGATGGCTCAGGAGGGCTTCGCCTTGACTATCCAGTCTCTCCCATTTTAAGTTTCCATTTTGACCTTCCACAATCACAAAGAATATTCTTTATTTTTAAGAATGTATTTATTTATCTGACAAAGAGAGAGAGACAGCACAAACAGGGGGAGCTGCAGAGGGAGAGGGAGAAGCAGGCTCCCCACTGAGCAAGGAGCCTGACGTGGGACTTGATCCCAGGACCCTGAGATCATGACCTCAGCTGAAGGCAGACACTTGATCGACTGAGCCACCCAGACGCCCCCATAAAGAACATTCTTAACTAGGACAAAGTCTCTTGGATGACCATGACAATGCATGCTTCAAAATTCTATCAAACCATTACCCAGCTTCTAGAGTCTTGCAAAGTAGGAAAATAACCACAGAAATATGGTAGCTCTTAGATGTTCATAAGAGCCCCCGGGGTGATGGGATAAAAGGATTTCTGAAGAGCCTTACCTGTTTTTCAATGAAAGCGTTGATTCTCTGTAGCATTCCCTCACATGTGAATTCATATGGCATGTATGGCTCAATCTGTAGAAGCAGAACATGGTATCATGAAAGGAGACAGAGAACCAAGGACACTTACCCAGTCCTCCCCTGACTCACGCACACTCACGTGCCTCAAGATGGGATAGGACTATGAACTCAGATGTCAACCAACCTGGGTTTACAACCTCACCCTGCTCCTGGTTAGCTGTGGGACCCTGAGCCAAGTGCCCACCACCTCTGAGCCTCAAGTTCTTCATGTGCAAAACGGTGAGAAGAAAAATCTACCTCTTTTAAGCTGTGGTGATGGTCATGTGGGAAAAAAAAAAAAAAAGTAAAGTGCTTAGTTTGGTGTCTGGAACACAGTAGGCATTCTACAAAAGGTGGGGAGTATCATCGGTTAGAGGTTAAGCTCCAGAGGGCAGGTGCTCCACGGCTGCTGGGCTGTGTGGCTCACGGAGGAAGGCAGCAAACACATGCTGAATGGATGCGTGCTCAATCCTAGGAGAAGGGCACATGATGAGTGGGTAAGGACCCAGGATGGTGATGAAAGCACTGGTCGGCACTCGAAGGTGAGGTCAGCACATAGCTAAAGAATGTGTGGGGCAGGAACAGAGTCATAAAGTGCCACAAAGAATTTAGCCAAGGGGCCCAGAGGCTAAAAGGTCAAAGCAGACTTCTGCTCATGCTGGGCTTTTAAAGCCAGCTAGGATTCCGGCAAGTGCAGATGTGGAAGCCATTCCGCCTAGCGCGAGCAGCAGGAGGTTAGACATGCAAGAACAGCAGGTGGGTAGAGTGTGGGATGGCAAAGCCTGGGGAGACAAGGCTGGGAAGAGGTTCACTGGATTTCCACAGAAGGATTTCTATACTAAGGAGCCCAAGCTTTATCAGAAGGCAGGAGGAAATTCCAGAGGTGCTTCACTGGGGCCAGGGAGGCAATGTGATCATGATTTGAACACCTGGGGACAGGGAAGACTTGTGGGTTTTCGGCTCTGCTGCACAGTGTGTGCGCCCACACTACAAGGCTTGTGTTTTGGGGGCATCCAGCAAGCATTACCAATCTGAAATGGAAATTTCACTTTACGTTTGGGACAAATTCACTAGCAATCCAGTCTGGGCCAGCTTCGGAGAGCCCAAGAGCACCTGCCAGCAATAGGATAGAGGGCTACCACTTAGTCCTACACTTGCCGATCTCAAATGTACAGGGTGGAGAGCTGGACAGAATGCCTGTGCGTTGAGGCCTGTGGAAAACGGGACAGTTGACAGAGAAGACATCCTCCCATGGTCACAGGGGAACTTCTCCCCTCTTTTTCTGTGTCAATTCAGACATTACACATGAACTCTTCTTTAATCATGACTATTAATTTCATAACATATCTTCAAACCCACGATCATATAATGCATCACGCAGTTTTTACCTCCGGCATCCCTGCCTACATTTGCGCAGAGAGAGCTGAAAGAGGCTGAGCCGTAAGTATTATACTATCAGGGCAGGACTCTTGAAAGAACACAGGCCATCTCGTTCCTCAACAGAGCACCTCAGAAGAGCTCAAAATACTCAGAAAACGGACTTCAGTGTTGCAAACCTGCTCCTTCTCACCTCAAGCTTTTGCACGAGCTGTGCCCTTTCCAACCCAGATATAGCCCTTCACACCAAAGGCAAAATTTTCTTTCCTTTCAGAGGATATTTGTTTACTCATCCTTTGTGGGTGATTCTAGAGGCTTACTATGACTGGCCTGCAGATAGGTCTCTTTTCAGAGGTCCACAGAAGGAACAGAAAGAAACCATGACAGAAAACTTGGCATATTAGGATCATTTATGTGGTGACAAGTAGAATTTTTGCAGTGAAACAACACATCGGTGGCCATTGTCATGACATCAACAGATCCAATTATGTGGTGGGAAGGAGGCCATTCCTACAACTTATTCTAAAGGGCAGCCTTTAGATATGGAAATGAATTAATTCAAAGGGCTCAATGCATAAACACAGAAAAATGGCTCTTCCTGTGTCCTCCTACCAACCAAACCCAATTTAACCAAAGGGATGCTGACTCATTAATTGCTTGGTGGCCCATTCACTGTTTTAAATAATATGAAGCCAAATTATTTTCCTATAAAGGAAACGCAAACCAAAAAAAGGTAATTGTATTCTTAAACCACCCCTGCCAGCGGGTTCCACTAGCCATCCTGCTGAGGACAGGAATGCGGCCTTCTGTGTGGGAAAGTTCTCCAGACTCCTGGCTTTGGCTATAAAAGAACCCTGGCAAGCCTCTGAGGTAGGAACTATTGTGGAGCTTGGGGCAGGGGCCTGGGGTAATTTTCTGGAGGAAGGAGTCAAGGCCTCCTTGGGGAAGGGAATTAAAGGGAATGCTGACAGCACATCCAGTTACGGAGCAACCTAAGCAGGGCCAGTTGTGGAGAAACGGGGAAATATTCTTGGCCATCTTGGTCTGTGGGAAAGGACACTGCTCACATGGCCACAGGAAGGAACCCTGCAGGCTACACTGTGTAGTTCCTGCTGGCCGTGGAAAACTTCCATTATTTTCCCACCTCTTCCTTCCCTTTCTTTTTATTTCTCTTCTTGTGAGATGTCCTGTCTCTTCTAGCACCCACTGATTGATCTAAGTCCAAGTACAATTCCTACAGGGAATAGCTCTCAGAAATCAGCTGACCTTGGACAGTGGTGGCTTGGCATCACTCAATGAGAGATGATCTTGGAAGGTACCAGAAGACCAGGAATTCGGTCGTGTCTCCTCTATCTACTAATCATAGGATTTTAAGTCAGACACATTCTGCAATTTCTCCTGATTTAAAATGTAAACTAGGTCATGCCATTCCCCTGGTCAAAACTTTCCATCATACTTAAAATAAAATCTAGAATTCTTAGCATGACCTGTTTTAAAGATCCTACACATTCTGCCTCCACGGGACCTTTTTTTATGGTTTCCATTATTTCTGATGAGAAGTTGGTGGTCTTTCATACTGTTATCCCCTTAAATGTAATGGATTTTTCTCTGGCTGCTTTCAAGATATTTTTCCCCTAATTTTTTGTTATCAGCAGTTTGGCAATGATGTATACTTGTTTTTCTTCATATTTATCCTGCTTGGAGTTCAATGAGCTCCCAGGATCTGCAGGTTGATGTCAGTCATTCATTTTAGAAAATTCTTAGCCATTATCTTTTTAAATATGTCTTCTGGCTATTCTCTCTTCCTTCTGAGATTCCAATTATACATAAATTGGGCTGTTGATATTGTCCCATAGGTCTCCTATGTTTTTTCTTAATTTCATTCATTTTTCTCTTTTTGTTTCAATCTGGAAAATTCCTCTAGTCTATTGATATTGAAAAGTTCACTGATATTATCCTCTGCTATGTACACTCTGTTGATAAAGCCACTGAAAGAGTTCTTCATTTCCAGTTATCTTCTCAGTTCTAGTATTTTTTTGCTTTGGCTTTGAGAAAAAGTTTCTAGCTTTCTGTTGAAATTCTCCATCTGTTCACATATATTGTCCACCTTTTTCACCAAAACTTTCAATATATTTATCTTAGCATCTTGAAGTTGCTTTCTAATAAGTTCCAACATCTGGGCTATCTCTAGGTCTGGTTTTAATGACTGTTTCCTCTCTTAATGACAGGTCATGTAACCTTGCTTTTTGTGTGTCACATAATTTAAAATCTTGTAAGTAAATAAGAGAAAGACTGGCACTCAATTTTTGACCCATTCCTAAGAAGCATAATCTTAATGACAATAGTTTTTGTATTAAGCACATTAATTACTTCAGTTCTCATTCCCACTTTTATCTTTCCCTTTACTTCTTTCCATATTTCTTTTCCTTTCTAAATTTTGTATTATCTTAACATGTTCGTCAAAAAGACCTAGGCTTTAGTCCAGTTTTTACTATTTATTAGCTATGTGATCTTGGGTAAATTACTTGATTTCTTTAAACCTCAATCTTTTCATCTGTAGAAGAATTATGTGAAACAATGCTCATAAAGATGAAATGAGATAAGGCTCATAAAGATAGTGATTGTAGATGTGTAGAAAGAGGTTCTCTTGATGTAAAAGCTACTATTATTAATTACTTTTTTTCTCACATGGTCTTGAATAATTTTTGGACTAAGGTGGACAAAGGTTGATCAGAGTTTTAAAATGTAGAGCACTAGAGTTTCTATGGAGTGAAGAGAGTCAATTTCATGTAGCCATGAGCAAAGACAGCCCAGTGGCTCACTCTGTGCTTCTGGGTCAAGCATTCCCATTAGATTTTTGTTTGACAAAAGGGACCTATCACCTAAAAAGTTTTGTACTCCATGATCCAAGATTTTCTGCTTCTATGTTACTTTTTAAATCACTCCTTTTCCGTGGATATGTGCACTTAACCAAGTGATGTGGGTTGAATTTATTTGCTCCAAAAGAAAATGTGCAAGTCCAAATTTCTAGTAGCTGTAAATGTAACCTTATTTAGAAATAGGGTCTTTGCAGATATAATCAAGTTAAGATGAGGTCCTACTGAATTAGACTGATGTCCTTCCAAGAATGGAACAGAGACAGACACACACAGGTTAAGGTGCTGCAGCTGCAAGTAGTCAAGCAAAGCCTGGGGCCACCAGAAGACAGAAGAGGCAAGGAAGAATCCCCCACTACAGGCTTCGGAGGGAGCATAGTTCTGCTGACATCTTAATTTTGGACTTCCAGTCCTGAAACCGTGAGAGAATAAATTTCTGTTGTTAAAACTAGCAGGTTTGTGGTTCTTTGTTATGGTAGTCCTGAGAAACTAATACCCTAAGGGACTCGGACTCAAGAAAGAAAGAAAGAACCATCAGCCTCCCCAGGAATGACGCTCCAGTGGCGAAGCTCTCGATGTGTGGCAGATAGTGAGGCAAGCCGGTGGGGCCACATTCCACTCAGCCTGTTCCCCTTTACTCACACTGCGCCTTGAACCCAGGTCCTTCTGGGTCCACTTTTCAGTTCAGCTTTGCAAATTCCTACTTGTCCTAAAAGACTTAATCTAGTGCTGCATTTTCCAGAAAGCTTCCCCCGACATCCACCTCTCCATGTTTTGCCTGTCGCTGGCACTGAACACATTCGGCAAATACCTATTCCTCTCTCTCTCCATCCATTGGGTAGATAACTATGCTGGGTACAGAGTACAGCAGCGAGACAGACCTATAACTGGCCCTCATGCTGCTGACAGTCTAGTTAATTCCAGACTGTTGAAAACAAAAATAAGAATACTGTATGTGTAAAACTAATAGTGACTTAATAATACCAACTAAACACTCACTATGCAGTAGATGCTCCACTTAAGGGCTTTATATTCATGAGCTCGTTGAATCCTTACAAACACCTATACAGTAGGTAACAGTACTTAAAGAGATGAAGAAACTAAGACTCAGAGGTTACGTAACTGCCTGAGGGGACACTGCTAGTAGGTGACAGGGTTGGAACCCCAACCCCAAGCTAGTTCCAGGCTGTCCTCCTTACAACCATGCCCCTGCTGCTTCCCCTAAATAACTGTAAGAGAGTATAGTGTAGTAGGAGGAGCATACAGAGCAGTCCCACCAATGTGGAAAGCAGTCCAGGGGGTAGGGAGAGGTTAACTTGGCCCATCCGCACTGGACGGTAAGCCTCCTATATACATATTCCTTCCTATAGACAGGAAGCCAGCCTCGACTATGTTTATGGGAGTGAGTGTCCCCTAAAGTGGCTCAGAGGGTCTCTGCCTACAGTAGGCACTTAATAAATGCCTACTAAATGGATCAGGAGAATCCAGAGATGTCAGTTACTTATACAAAATTCTATGTAGGTGTTTAGGTTAAAAAAAAAGTCAAATAAATAAATGCTATATAAAAACGTTTCCCGGTATTTCCTTAATACCTCCTATCATTCTTACTTTTGGTAGGGGAGCAGATCTGTGTATTCTGGTCTCTGTGAGAGTGAGACAAACATAATTCAAAGCCCTACTATTGCATCTGGGATCTAGCAGTTATGCCAAAAGCTTCCGGAGAAGCCACACACACAAGGGGCATCAGCTCTGTTCCCACCTGCCAGCGCACCCATGAACCCTCCATGGGCCAAATCCTACACCGTGGCTCTTCTAATCCCAGAGTCAAGCTGACATGGAAATGTTCTAGTTACTCAACAAGACGGCCTGTGAGGCTTTCCACACATTTCAGGTCACAGCACAGATGGGGAAAAATGGAATAAAAGACACAACCTTCTGACTTAAAATTGCTTTCACGGCAGCCTCCACTTCCTCCTGATTGCTGAGGTCAACCGTCCAAACATGGGGCCGGCCGATGAACACTTCAGCATAAGGATGCTGCGACGTCAGCTGGAAGAGAGAGACAAAGCACTTCAGTCTCACAAATACGTTTTTTTTTTTAAGCCTTCTGTGCTAGATGAAGCGTTATGCTTTTTATGGCATTGTACTTACGTAGCTAACAAGACATTTTTGTCCTTCCTTGATGATCAAAACCTCCCGAGAACCCACAAGTAGAGAACAATAAAAGAGTGATAACTCCGCAACTTGAATCCCACTTGGAAAAGTCGAAACCAGGCGCCATGGTGGCTGCTACCCCCAAAGCTGCACCAAGATACAATGGAATGTTCAACTCTTGGTCACATCCCAGCCCTGAAAATCACCTCGGTCAAACTGGTATCTGTTACAAGACACGGATCAGGACACACAGGGAATGAGAAAATTACAATAAAGCCAAAAGTTTCAAAGTCATAGGAGGATGAGTAATGACACATACAAAATGTAAAGAAAGAGAAATAAGGCTATCAGAAAAACAGAGAATTTTGGAATGGTTTCAGGCCAAATCATTAGCATCACATTGGAGCCTTAATACTGATAAAGACAATTTGGATTCAGCAAAGCTCTAAAATCGGAGCTTTTATTTTAAGAACAAAGGGTCCAAAGCAACCCAGGATGAAAGCTGGCGATTCTCTGCTCCTGAAGGGTCCTTTCTCTGACGGCTAAATTTACCACCCAAACTGGCTCCCACCTTTATGCCTGTATCCTTTCAGGGCGTAATGGGAAGGGAGCTTTCTGGACATTCACGAGAGCATTTTCAGTTCTCACAAAGACTGGGGGTGGTGCCTGGAGCTGTGAACCTGTGGCCGAGGACTGGGGGTCACAGACCCCTCATGAGGCAGGCTGTCCACTCCCTAATCAGCATCTTCCTGCCCTGCTGGGCTTCCATGCGGGGTCACAGAATCCAACTCTTTGGCCCAGTTTTAATATACATTGAATTTCCAAGGAACCTAATTTCCATGTAAATCAAGGGATGTTCCTACTCTGTTTTCTTTGGAACTTTACCCATAAGCTGTTACCACTTTGGAGAAATCAGGGCGACCATGTCACTGTCACTCAGATGAGGTGAGTCTCCAATATGACATGCCCAAATTGGTCTGTATTTGTAGTGCTCACATTAATGGGAATTGCATATTTGTGTATCCATCTATAGTGTATAGGCAGTTTTTAACCAACCTCTCTTTTATGATATCACTTTTAAGCAACCATAAGCCCTTACCATATAAGGGCCAATCATGTTCAGTTGAATGTTTTATTCTTCTTAAGTACAATCTTACTCATTGTAAGGAGGCAGGAGATACCTTTGCTACTATAGTTCTTGGGTATGGGTATTATTTCTTGACTATATTTATACTGAAATATGTATTTCCTTATTGCAAATTATTTTCCTGTATGTTAGAACTAGGGAATCATTCTTTCTTGAAATTTCATATGTAGGCAGGGTATATTATTGATGAATTTTGTTTCAGGACAGAAAAGTAGATCTTGCAACATATTAGTGGGAGAAACAGGTGTTGGGTCTAGTAGGGCTGAGGCTATTGCTTTAGAGGCAAAGCTGGTTCTCTTTTTCTTCAGACTCCAGTATACACAGGGGATGGGGTGATTTCACTGGCCTCTCTCCATCTCACTTCTAGCCACCATTCTTCATATCCTACCTCACGAATTGTGTGCACGCACTACTTACGGCAGGAAACCCAGAGTTTAAGTTACTGGGCCTCAGCTCCCAGCTGTCATTGGCACCCTCTTGTGGAAATCATGTCTCTCTCTCTCTCTCTCTCTCTTAAAGAGTTATTTGAGAGTGAGAGAAAGAAAGGGGGCGGTGGGAGTGGCAGAGGGAGAGCGAGACTCTCAACAGACTCTCTGTTAAGTACAGAGCCTGATGCAGGGCTCGATTTCAGGACCCTGAGATCATGACCTGAGTGGAAATCAAGAGTCAGATGCTGACTGAGCCACTGCAAATCACAATTCTGAGGAGAAAATATCTTTGCTCCTGAACCCTCTGCCAGAATCATGCCCCTTGCTGGCCCATTCAGTTCCCCATTCTTCGGATACGTACCCCCTCCTTCCGCTCCACCATGTGGTCAGTGATAGAACCTACAGAGTGACCGCAGCAGCCGCATGGAGCTGGGGAAGCGTCCGTGTCTTTTGTCCCCAGTACACATCTTAGATTCAACACGCATCAGTGGAGCCTCTGGCTAGCCCAGGCACTGAGCTGATCACCTGCATGTGCATTACTTATACCTTTTCCTATGCATCCGTGAGGATTTTGAGATTTATATAGATTTACAATTCCACAAGACCACACAGCCAGGAAGGAGCAGAGCAAATTCAAATCGAGATCCTTCAACAACGCATTAGCTTTTGATGGAAAGGAAAGTGACAATTTTACAGCACCGACTGGGTTCTTGAGACAAAGGCGAAAAGAAGCCCGAAGTAAACTCTATATTCTTTTAATCATGCTCCTAAAACTTGCCCAACTAAAAAAATAAAAAAATAAAAAATCCCAGGATTGAATTTATGTCTGCAGTAGAGCTTTTCTGAAGATGAGTAAAATGTCACACTGTTTTCACTTGGTGGCCTGGAGAACAAACTGATTAAATCTTCCAAGGGAATCAGGGTAAATTGAAGTTACCGTCAGTGTCGCTACGCAGCCGCTTACATATATAGGCAGTCTCTCCCCTCCCCTTTACAAGGTCCCTGCTTATGTGCAAGGTTGCTCTAAGCACTTGGATAATACAGAACGCTGAGCCATTATCGTTTTATTCATTTACATTTACTGAGGGTTACTTAATTTTAATGAGTAAGGCATTTTGTAATTCATTATTTCCCCTCTGAATGTTATGCTCCTCCCTGTTAATTTATTGAGAACCGTCTGATCTGAGCTCCTTCCCCATATATCAATCAGTAAATTTACTGGAGTATAGTTTGTAAAAGTAATGAAAATCTTATTAAATAGGAGACTTTACTTAAGAGTGGCTATTAACTTTCTAAGGAGAACATGAATTCTCCTTATAGAAAAAAACCCTGAAGCCAGAGAATTTCTAATGGTTTACAAAATGTCCAAATAATGATTAAGAACCTACTAATGTGTTTCCCAACATAAAGATAAAAATCCAATTTATATCACATTGGAAGTATAACCTGAACTGACCACATTACTTAAGGCATATGGAACTTCTCCCCTTGAGTATACATCATGGTTTTTAAAAATTGGTCCAATGGAAAAGACAAAAATAAAATTAAACTGTCCTGTAGAAATTTGGACTTCTTTTCTCTTCAAGGCAAAGAAGGGACACACCTGCAATTTATACAGATTGATTCATATGGATCAATTGTTGCTTAATTGGAAAAACTAGCAAGGGACCAACAAAATAGCTTTGTAATTATGTCCATTTGGGTTAAAATTTTTCCATTTGCAGAAAAAAAAGAGAATAATTGATTTCTAGGAATTTTTGACCCTTGGGCTTCTACATGACTATTGATAGCTCTCTCCCAATGAAAAGCGGCTTTGGTCCGGGGGATTTTGTGGCATTTGTGGGCTGAAAGAGCCAAGTGGGTGGCCCACCTGGCCTTGAGGTCAAGTTCACTCTGTGATGTTGCTGGCTCCCAGTCTGCTCTGTCTCCCGCAGAGAAGGAGATGGCCATCAGATGGCACCTGCCCTCCTGCATAAGGCAGGGAATCTGGGGATTTCCCTCCAACTCATCAACATTCATGCCTTTTAAGCTTGAAACCTCCCTCTCCTCCTTCTTCTTTCTAGTACAGCTCTGCTAATATCCCCTTTTCAGTTAACCCAGCACATTCTCCACCTGGCACAACTCCAAGATGACATTCTCTCCTCGATTGACTTAGCTATTTCTTTCCATATCAAAATCTGAGCTCCTGGAAAACAGGAAATGTGTCTTGATAAGTTTCCCCAATGCAGCCATTAGTACCAGGGACACCATGGGGACACAATGCACATCTGTCAACTGACCTTTGGCATCCTGGTCCCCTATGGGAGCCCAGGACTTAATGAGTCATCTGTGCAAGGTCACTTGCAGAGCAAATACTGAGAGGATCCCACAGGGCCAGTCTAACTAGAGTCCCAGCTAAGCACTGGTGGATCATCTGAAGGGATGGGAGGCACCAAGCACCTGGGGGGCAGCTCTAATGCCTCGTCTCTTCTCATGCCATGAAGAATGAAAACCTCCACCATCTCAATGAGAAGCACATTACTAAGTGATGACAAGGGACAGGAAATGATGAACATCCTTTCCTCAATAACTTCACACTAGCTGCTCTGATCTCAGTGACTTACAACATTTACTGGGAAATGGATCGTGTGTGAGCGTCCTAATTTTTTTTTTCAGGAAAAAATAGTCCATTGTAACAAAGGGACATCAGAATCTTTAGAATGACTAATAACAAAAAGGTGTCAGCAGCCAATGTAGTCTAAGATACTTCTGACTGATCATTTCCCAAAGGCTTATAGAAATAGCAGTAAAAAGAGTTGGGGTTCTTAGCTCTTCACGTATTCAAAAAAAATCACCATGAGGGGAAAAAGAAAACCACCATTAGAACCACCATCTGCTGTAAGCAAGAACCACTGACACATGGTAAAAATAAATGGGCAAAAGTTTGAAGAGAACCAGAATATTTGTATAGTTTCGAAATATTTTTTCCCCAATATAAAGAAAGTTAGTAACTTTCTAGTGAAGAAACTCAGCAGACACAACTTGAACCAAGTGATCAAGGTGAACACCATCAGTAATTAGACATACTGATACCATGCACCCGCCCCCTGATATGACACACTGAGAAGGCCACACCACTTCTGTGACATTCTCGCTAAAAATGTATCATCACACAGTAACCAAGACACAACATCCGTCAAATCCAAAGTGGGCAAGGGCATAGAGAAAGGCCAACTGGTACTCTTTTAAAGTGTGGTTGTCATGAAACAGAGTGAAGGACCAAAGAATTGTCACAGACTGGAGGAGATCAAGGAGACAGGGCAGGTAAATGCACTGTGGCGTCCTGGACTGGATCTAAGAACTGCAAAAGGATATCAGTAGAAAAAATGACGAAGTCCAATTAGACTCTGTAGTTTAGACAATGTTGTGATATCAGGGCTCATTTCTTTGATACAAGTTTTGATAACTGTACTGTAGTTATGTAATGTGTTACCATCAGGGGAAGCTGGTTGAAAGTATTACACCTAACCTCTGTACTATTTTTGCAACTCTTCCCTACGACTATAACTATTTCAAAATGCATAAAAAGTAAATTCCAACAACTCCACTTGAACACATTATTCCTCAAAGAATGAAGAGCGAGAACCCAATAGATACTTGCATACGGATTCACAACAGAGAAAAAGTGGAAACAACCCAAGTGTTTGCGGATGAACGGATACACAGAATGTGGTGTATTTATACAATGGAATATCATCCAGGCCTCTAACAAGGGATGAGATTCTGACACATGCTACGAACTATGATGACATTACGCTAAGTACAACAAGCCAGTCACGAAAGAACAAATACTGTGTGATTTCACAGAAAATTTAAGTTGAGAGAGAAAACAGATGAGAGGTTACCAGGGAGGGGAGAATGAGGAGTTGGCGTTTAATGAACACGGTTTCTGTTTTGAATGATGACTAAATTCTGGAGATGGGTGGTTGTACAAAACTGGGAATATCCTTAATCACAATGAACCAAACACTTAAAATGGTTAAAATATTGTTTTAAATTATGTATATTTAATCATAATAGAAGTATATAAAAAAGAAAATTACAAGTAGTTATCACAATGTGAGCAGTAAAACTTCAGAGATTTCTTACACCTAACTTAAAAAGCAGGGATGGTTTATTGACCCAAATTTTCTACACTGAACTCTATCCTAAAAGTCTCAAAGAAGTCAGGAGCACGGCAGACCAGAGATTTCTAAACTGAGATGTTCTCACTGCCGGAGAGCATCTCTTCAGATCATTCCAAAGAATAAGCTCTTTGGTGCCAGGCTGAACCCTTCTGCTCTGTGCCCTGGAGCCTCCCCCAGCACCTGGCACACAGGTGTGCATTAAGTACTGCTGAGGAATGACTTCCCCAAAAGGAACGACTTCCCAAAGGGAAGAATTCAAGTGTATTATATTAGCAGAAGGAAAAGCAAGCATTCGAGTCAACACACATACAGTTACCCCTTCTCAGAGGTGGTGTGGCCCACAGATTGTTCTTTTGAGGATTATCTATTGGATCTCAATCCTCTCCCTCCACTTCCTTTGGCCCTTTTGCCAGTGGCAGGGAGGGTCAGAAAAAATAACTCTCAAAATAATCAGCTCCCTGCATGGGCAAGATCTCTGATTGATCAGTGAAGAATGATCACGGAAAATGCATTTCATGCTCCTTTTGGGGGAGGGGGGTTCAGGAGAATCGACCCAGAAAGGTTTAAAAGGAGAATTGAGGGCTCCTGGGTGGCTCAGTGGATTAAGCCTCTGCCTTCGGCTCAGGTCATGATCCCAGGGTCCTGGGATTGAGTCCCGCATCGGGCTCTCTGCTCAACAGGGAGCCTGCTTCCTCCTCTCTCTCTCTGCCTGCCTCTCTGCCTACTTGTGATCTCTCTCTGTCAAATAAACAAATAAAATCTTAAAAAAAAAAAAAAAAAGGAGAATTGAAAACTGCTTTAATCACAGCTCTGCTATACTGAAGCTACATCGTGGGTGCCGATGCATGTCGTCCCCCAGGGGAAGGCCCTGGATGACAGGGGCACTGCCAGGATGCCAGCTCCGACAGGCTTCCTCTTGGGGAGCAACCCACAGAGCCATGGAACTGAGAAGAAGATCGATCTCTGGGTTTCTTACACGCACCTGTTTCTGACTAGATACAGAAACACCAGCGTGATCGCCCACATGCTCTAAATGAACTTGTTGATTGCCCCGAATCGAATCCAACTGCCTTCAGAGGTGATTCATCACTCGCTGTGGATTTTTTAAGAGGATCTCTGAAAGCAATTCAAATAAGGCTTCTGCCAACAGTTCAAGTGATGGCAGGATTACTTCTCAGGATGGTGCCCACTGATGGTGGCCAAAAACACTAAGCATGGGACTTCAGTTGCCCATCAGATGTCTTGTCTCTCAAGGTTGACAGTGAAGGACTCCACGGCACACACTCTATTCCCCACAGCCCACTGTGGAGGACATGTTCTTCAAAAATGCCTGTTAGCCAGTGGATTGCCTTATTCCGTAAACTCTAGACATTCAAAAAGTCAGAGCTCAGCCACTGAGACGGTTGGAGAGGTCTGTGTGAATTAGGAGAGAGCTGAGGCAGAGTGAAAAGATGCCGAAGTTTGTAGAAGGGCAAACAGAAGTAGAGGCAAGTCTTGGCTGTGCCATCACCTAGTTAGGTGAGTTAGGAGATGGCATCGGCCATTCCTCCCTGAGCTCCTGCCCACCCCCATTCCTTCCACCCAGCTACGTTAAATGACGTTGACGATATCTACTGTCCAAGGCTATGAGGTTCAAATGAGCTCGCACCATTCAGTAAGTAGCTAGTATTTGTACTGTTGAAAGTAGAAGGAGTTTTTATAGATTCCTACCTCTCTGAGAGTTGGCTTGCCAATGAAAAAGTCTGTGTTCTTGCTGCTTTTGGGTGGGCTGAACTTGGGATTCAGAAAAGCACATCCATTTGCAATGGCCTCCAGGGGAGCTGGGCCCTCGTAAGGGAATCCGAGTCCAACGAACAGCTGTAAGACAGAAAAGCACACCATATATAAACACATCAATCAGAACTGGTGTCCTTGGCTCACAGGGGGCGATTCTGTGCTTCACTCCCATGTGGAAGCCTCAGAGCCTCTGGAAGGTTCCCAGACCCTGGGAGGTGGGGTAAAGAGGAGGCACCTCATATCAGGAACTGAGAAACAGGACCAGGGACCTTTACAGGCTCATGAAGCTGCTCAGATCATTATGTTCTCCTCCTCTGGGAAAAAAAAAAGAAAGTAAAGAAATAAGAGTTGGAGGATGGGAGGGAGGTGGGCAGTTGAGGGGGTAAGAAGGCGGGGGTATTAAAAGGATAAAAAACAACAACAAAAACCAAGACCCAACAATAATCTTTCTGTAACTCACCAGGAGACATGACTGGAAAAACACTTGCTTAACTAAACAGAAGGTTTCTTCATTGAACCAAAGGAACAACAGGCCCTTTCAGGGATGCTGGGGGTTGGGGGGGCGGTGCGGAACAGAAAGGTCACTTGGCGGTTTGATTACAGTTCAAATGAAGCTGCTTTAAAATGATGGTAGGTCAGTAAACACAGGTTTTCATAATGGGGTTTTCACTGGGGGAAACCAACAACTTTGTTTTTATCTCCCCCCTCAGTGGAGGGGAGAGGGTGCTGAGTGGCTTTCCTCCTCAGCAAGCACACCACGCGCGCTCCCCACGGCAGACAATAGATGGCAGCAAAAACACACTCTCCAAGTCCTCGTGCAGACCCAAAGAGCTCCCAACCCCTGGGACAAAGGGGCCTTGCTGCAGCTCACTGGCAATGATTCCTGGGTCCGAAACAGCATCTCAGGGAAATGCCTCAGTGCAGCTCCTCCCCTCGGGACCTTTCACAGTGCTGGAGGGCTGGAAGCTCTCAATGGCGGGATCCAAGTCTGGGCTTGGGGAGGTGTGAGCTCTCCCTACCGCACCGAGGAGCCAAGGCTGAGATCATTCAGCGAAGGCACATCTATCACCAAAGGATAATGGGGCCCCACGGCACCGTTCCCTTCTGCCATCACGCTGAGGAACACCCACGCAGCCAGGCCCCGAGAGTGAAGGCTATTGGTGAACTGGATACACAGCAGGCCTGGGCCCCCTCCCCATCGACTCCGTCTTTGCAGCTGCCTAAATGGAACAGTTACTTAGAAGGGTTCCACGTGGAAAGACCTGAGTCCCAGCTGCTGGGATCCCTGGGCACCACGGAGAGATGCGGGAAGTTTGGGCTGGGCACTCAGTTTCGGGACTGAACACTGAGCATGGCCCAAGCTGGACATATTGTAGCTCTCACAGGGATTTTTCTGGGATAAGAAACCAAAATTCCTGGTTTTCTGGGTAGACTCCCTGTCCTATGACTGTATATTCTTTTGCACAGAACAGCACGCCTAACCTTTGTTTGTTTCAGAGGAATAACCTTTCATTTCCTGTAAACTTTGAGATGACCAAATATACTGCCAGCTTCCCACTGCCAGCTGGGGGCACTGTCCCTCGGGCAGAACCACTGGAGACGTGGGTGAGGAATACCACAGTGGCAGGAGCCTGGGAGATGGAGAATATAAGGGCCATTTCCACCACCATTTGGAGGTCCTATTTCTGGATCTTACTGTTATTATTTAAAAGTTTTATTTACTTATTGATTTGAGAGAGAGATGGGGGAGAGGGAGGGAGAGAGAGATTGAGAATGCATAGGAGGAGGGGAGAGGGAGGGGGGAGAGAGAATTTCAAACAGACTTCCCGCCTGGGGCTCAATCCCAGGACCCTGACCTCATGACCTGAGAGGAAATCAAGAGCTGGACTCTTAACTGAAGGAGCCACCCAGGTGCCCCTGGATCTTATTCTTCTCAAGTAGCTGAAAGGAGTGAGATTATCAGAGAGAATGTAAGTATATAGGGTGTGGCCCCAGCATGTAGCTCAGGTGTGGGGGTGGGGGAGGATGCCTGACATCCCCAGAGGAAATGGAAGGCAAGAGTGGGAAGGACTTGTGCCAACACAACACAGCTTTATTAAATATGAAGAATCCAGGGTTGCTATCCTTCAGGCTTTTGAGCTCTGTGATCTGCCCTCCCTCTCAGATTTTGGGGAGGATATGCAGGCTCTCCAGGGGAAAGATGACCTCTCTCAGGTTGCAGGAGAGCACAGGGCTTCCAGATCCTTTTGACTCTGAGAAGAAAGGTGCCGGAAGATGCAGATGGGGGGCTCTAAGGGTTTCACCAGAGACCTGGAGCCCACAATGTGTCCCGACCTCTGAAAATCAGGGCCTGCCATCAAGTGCTGATACCTTCATCAACCTTAAATTGCCAAGAACTTTGGAGGATATGCAGGATGTACAATGATTATCTATTTAAATAGAAAATACTGGAAAAAATTTAATTAGCTCCTTCAGACCAACCAATCTGAACCCATTAATTAAAAGGATTTGAGGCTGTTGCTTAATGGACTTGAATGTGACCTAGGTTTAATTATATCTGAATAACAATTTGCACCATCTCGGCTGCCCCGCTGGCATTGAAACATCTCAGTACCCAGAAAATAAACATTTTGGGCTAACTCTCCAAAGCCTCACAATCGAAGGATGAAGCTAAAGCAAATACCATACAATTTCTTGGCAATGCGTTTCCTTGTCACGCTAATGAGTATTGCAGGAAATGCACAACTCAGAAACACCAAAAAAACGGTTCTTTGTCACTTCTGTCGATAAGCAATTTTTTCTTCCTTCCTGTGTACTCATTACCTGTGACATTATAATGGAGCAGACGTATTAAGGTCAAATAGCACACTTGAAGTTTGAATCATAAAAAGGGCAGGCAGAGAGAGCTCCTCACCAGCAAAGGGGAGACTGTCAACTGCTGAGTGCCGTGGTCTTGGCATACACCGGTGCATTAACTACACTAAATTACCTCCCCTCCTAGACCCCAGCTTCCCCAACACTGTGCTACTTACAGATGTCCTCAGCATGGGGGCATCACAAGAATGCATTCAAGCAGAGGCTTCACTTTTTAAGAGGAAACTGGGCCCATTTTATTTATACCTCATTTGGCCTTCAGAAGCCCCGAATAGAATGAGGATATTCCAGATGACGGAACATTGTCATGAATGCAATTCCTCCCCATCAGGAAGCATTTCTAAACCCAGGATTACATGTTCTACAATTAAATTTCTGAACTAATATGAAGCAAGAGAAAACAGATGAAGCACCACAGATTTTATTCACGGCACAGGATTGGGACGTTCCTATATGTCCACCAACAGCTCAGTAAAACCACTTGGAGTCTTACCCTGTGTGAAAGGGAAAAACAGAACTGTTCTAAACACCTAACTGGAGCAGGTAACAAGGAATCCTTTCAACATGGATAAAAGTGGTTCTTAGGAAGATACCACATGAATCTGGCCAGTTTCCAGTCACTCTTGATGGGGAATGTCAAGATGATCCAAAATAAAAGACACACACTCGACATAAGCTTTTCTGACTCACGTGAACTGGCTAAAATTGGTGGAGTGGCTCAGGAAGGAGTTTGAGCAATGAATCAATCTTAGCTTATCCAATAAATTGAATACTGGTATAAAGTGATCAGGGCAATGTGGTAACTGACAGCAGAGGGTCTAAACTTAGGCTGACCAAAGTTCAAATCTGGAAGGCCTCACTTCCTAGTTCTAGAACTGTGGGAAACTGTTAGTGGAGGTCCATTCATAATGTATTCTCTCCAGCTATGGGACCTTAGTCAAGGTAACACAAGCTCTCTAAACTGTCTTGCCATGTGTAAAATTGTGCTTTATTTCATGGGGCTGCTGTGAGAATTAAATGAGATATTTCATGGAAACTATGTATTCTAAGGTTTGGCACTGAAGTAAATGTTCACTGAGCAAGAGTCAGAATCCAGATCCAACTTCATGCGGCTGCACACACATATGACCTTGTATTGTTTAGCTAGAGCTTAGGTGTGCATGAGTTGTGGTTGTGGGCTTTACAAGATGTTTGGCACCTGCATGTGTATTTAAGAGTTTGCACTATTTCATAAAGTACCTGGAGTAAAAAAAAAAAAAAAAGGGTGAGGAACATCCATCAGAAGAGTGAGAAGACATGGTTTATGGTGGCTGCCTTGTGGAAAAGCCAGTCCCAGGAGCCACGTACTATTACTAAGCCTTGTTTCTTCTTCATACAATGATTGGGAATCCCCCTATTTTTGGTAATGTAACTTTAAAAAGAATTTTCATAGCTTTAAACAGAATCCATATGGTAGGCGAATATGGAGGAAATATATTCTTCTGAGAGGTGATGCTTTCATATAGCCTAAAAAGTCTCTATCTGGACACGTGTCTGCCCTTCTGCATTCAATGCTTGAAGGAAAAGAATAGTGGCCCAAATCTCTCCCATTCAGGTTTGGCTAAATACCCTCTCATGGGTTGCCAAAGTTCCTAACCTAAGCTACAAGATTTTCTTGTAAAGAGCTAGAAGGTTTAAAGGAGACAAGACAATGATACAAACCAAGTATGTTTAAGTGCCTGAAGGTTGTCAGAATCGGCAGCTATGTCAAAGGTTATTTCTTAGCGATCAGCTCACTGGGTAGGCTCCCAGACTATCCTTGTTACCCAAGTGGTCTTTCAGAAATAAAAACACAACACCAACAACTATACCAAGACCAGAAATTCACCCACTTTGGTCATTTGGAAACACCAGTTCAAAATCCCATGCACTGCAATTTGTATTATAAATGCATTAACTTGGAGATGGGGGGTGGCTAAGAGAAATATTTGGATAAGTTTCTGACTGTAGATACAGACCATCTTTAGCTGCCCGGCACGAACTGTTTACTATTATGGTGTGAGGCAGCCCAACAGGCCAATTCACCATTGCACTGAGGATGGGCTCCCACAGTACCAAAGACAGAGGGCCCTTGTAACAAGAGATAACTCATGGAGGGGGCACAGAGAAGGGTTAGGGAAAACAGCCAGGAGTACTGTAATAAATCCCTGTGATCATGCATGCTACCATAACACAAATGCACCACGTTGAAATAATTGGCTCCTGTCCTCCAGAGCAACCTTCTGCTCTTATTTAAGGGATATTCAGAATTCACAGGGCAACATTTTGCACAACTAAACGATTGACCCTGCTTACAGCATCGTAGAAGTTTGACATTGGTATCCCTCCTTTTTATGATTACTACTTCTACCTGTGTTCTTTTCACACTGTGATAGGTCCCCAGTTTAACTGTTGGCCTCCTCTACCACATCTGTGGAACACTGGTGGGCAGCACTGCCTTTGTCATTCCTGTAGCAAAACTGCCTGGAGTAAGGCCTGGAATGTATTCAGTAGTGAATACACATTTGTCAGAAAAATGAGCCAAAGAAGAAATACTAATAGATGAGATCTTTCCAGCAAGCAAGCGACTCTGTGAGGATGAGATGCTGAGCGTTTTTGTGTGTATTTGAGTGTGCGGATGTGCTTTTGTTCTTGAAGTCAGAGAAGTTACTGTAGCACCTCTCCATATACTCTGTGTTCTACACACGTATGTGGGAAGGGAAGAGGGAGAGAGGAGTACATATTGACCCCAATTTTTTTTTTCCCATCTGGCTGGAATGGGAGTAACTTTAGGTATTGGCTACGAGTATGAAGCCTCCTTGACTATCCGAGGGCGCACATTCCCATGCCTGAAAAGGAAGATGGAAGGTGGATTGCTCCATCAGTACGCAAGCGCCTGGGCTCCCTCCCACAGATGGCACTTGTGTGATGCGTGGGCAATACGGTGGAGAGGCGGGCACGGGCTGTCAGAAGGATGGTGTTGCTTGCTATGGAAATCTTGGCGATTTGGGTGCGTGATTCATGAGCAAAGCAAGAAATCAGTCTTACAGGCATGGTCCCAAGATCCCAGATGGCTAATGGATTTCATCCTGACTCTTTCCTTCATTCTTTACATAATTATCTGAAGGCCTTCTACAAGCCAGGCACTGTTCTAGGCATTGAAAATGTACCTGTAAACAGAATAGGCAAAGCCTCTCTCCCATCATGGAGCTGCATGAGTCTAGTTCCATGGCCGGTGGCCACCTCAAGCCATAGATTTTTGAGAGATTGCTCATCTGCATCCAAGCTCATGGGAAAAGTCATAGTTGATGGGGAATCAGACATGGGGTTGGGATGGAACAGGGACAATCTATACTGTATATTCAACCCTGCCCAGGCTGCCAGGTGAGTCCCACAGCTGAGCTGATGAGCTGCCATGGTAGGGCAGCAGAGCTGTCATGACCCCCGGCCCCTGCCTCCAGAGTGCTGGAGAGTGATAGGTCAGAGGCTGGGGCAGTGAAAGGTACAGCAACAGCATGAACAGCAGCAGCTTTCCCCCCTTGTTTTCCACAGCCAGAACTTGCTCTCAACTTTTACTGTAGAAAGGGAGGTACCTGTTCTGCCTCACCCTGAATGCTCGTCCTATCTAGTGTAGGATGGGAATGCCCCTTCTCTAAGGAGCTTCCTGTGTTAAGACTGGCAGGGCTGTGGGGGGTGGGGAGCTGGGCAGGAAGAGGTTAAAATTAGGAAGGAGAAGAAAGAAATGACATTAAAAGAGAGGAGGACTTAACTTCCAAATAAAAACAGGCCACTCAGTTCAGGTTTCAGCTGTACTCCTGGAGTCGGTTAGACTGAGAGCCTTGTCCATGGTCCTCCGGTAAATAATTAATTCATACAAATGTATATGCTTATTAGAAGAGTCTTTCAGATTCAACAACTTCCTGGCTCTTTTAGCCCCAATTTTTGTGTCACACTGAATTCCTCCATCTTCGGAGGCTCCCTGTGGCTGGAGTCAGCTAACGACACGTGGGCCCTTAGGGCATGCCGGGGCGAAATGCTGCTGAGCACAGGGTTTCCTGGGCCTGGGTGCAGGGCTTCCAAGACAGCTCGTAAAGAAAACTAATGAGTGAGGAGCTGATCGCGCATCAATCAGTTCCACCTGTCTCCCAACCTGAAGGAGCACCAGACTCGCTTCCCTCTCCGGTGAGTCTGGGTGTGCCGATCCCATTCATTCTACCGACATCTGCTTCCCTGTATCTCCAGTTCTCCACTTTCAACGTGGATTGGAATAAATCGCTTTTAAATTGCTCCGAGAGGCAGAGGAAGGAGTCAGAGGCAGAAAGGGTTATAAACGCAAAGCCTGACTGGTCTTTAGTGTCATTATTTCAAAGCCCAAGCTCCATTCATTTGAGTGCCTGCTGCTGTGTTCTAGGTATGAGGGGAGATTCTGCAATACATGGCCTCATTTTCATCGTATTTGCCGACTGTTTTAGCCATAATTCCACTCGGAGTGCTTTAATACATTCCAGGCAGATGAAGAGGCAATACGAAATGGGATCAGTGATAGCCTGTGAGGGCACCAGTTTCTCAAGGATAAATACATGCCCCTCACACTCAAAATTCAGGCCACCATCCCCCGCTGTCAGGCAGCCTCCCACTCACGGCTCGGACATTACGGGTCTCTTCTCTTTCCCTCCCTGGGACGCCAGGGGCCTCAGCTTCAGCCTATTTCCTGCCCTCTGACAGGGTAAGTGGATGGTAGGGGAAGTAAGGGTTCTTTTAAAATTTCCAAGGCTGAGTAAGACATTCAGGAGGCTGGGTTAATAGGACTGCGCGAGACAGTAATGACACGCTGTTGAAAACCAGCGCTGCCAAATGTAATTTTAAAGGAGTCTGAGCTTTTCCCACCATCTGATGTGGGGAAAAGTAAAATGAGGCAAATGGCAAAAAATAGCACTGCCACTAAAGGGCCCGGACATTCTAGCGATTCTAAAATGTCACCCTGAGACAGAAAAATAATGGGAAGCCAAGAGTACAAACTGGGGAGCACACTTCCCTTCTGGGTTGCTGTGAACAGCCATTGGATTACAGATGACCTTGCAAAGGAAAAGAGATCTTACGTACCACAAACCAGATCTTTGGCTAAGGAGATAATAATTTACCCAACTATTTTATTCATGGTAACACCAAATGACTTGGAGGTAGAAATGATCAAATGCATTCACACATGGAGAAACTGAGGCAGAAAGGAGGTACATATTCTATTGGCTGGTGAGTGTCCATTAAGCATTCTCCAGTCTGGGCGTTTATTCATGAGGATAGTGCCTTTAAGGGCCCAGCAGAGCTTTAATTTGCAAAAAAAAAGATCAGTCAATCAGTCAGTCATGAGTTAGGGTTGCCTCCCAGGCAAAGTGAGTGACTGTGGGCCAGCTGAACACTCTAGCCTACTTTCTCCTGGTGACCATGATGTTAACAACAACAGCACCTTCCTCACCCACCTCTCTGGGCTGTTGTGAGAATCAATCAGGGCAGCAGGTGTGAATACACTTTCCCAAATCCCAGTGTCACACAATAATGAGAAATCTCTCGTAAGCCACAGAGCTTCTCCCCCACTCAGCCTTCCCCCGACCTTCCCATGGAAAACCCCACCAGGCAGGGCCCAGAACTGAGTCACTGTCGATAACAAGCTGCCCTGTCCCTTACTTAAGGAAGGGATCACACTTGCTTTCTTCACTCTAATATCCCTTGCACCACGTCTGGCTCTTCAAAGCCAAACTCCAGTCTGTTTGCAAGTCCCCTAACGTCATTTGGTACTTTCATGGCAGAATTGCAGGCACTGGGTCAAGGGGATGCAGTCATCATGCGACTCAAACAGTTCTCCATCAGTGGCTCCCCCACCTAGCTACCCCATGGGGTCTGCAGTGTGTCTATGTCTGTGAAAATCAGCCCTTCAGCCCCTTACCAGAGGTTTCCTCCCACTCTTTCCCAGCAACAGAGCAGCTGGGGGGCTTTGTGGCTCCCTCCTGAATGTGTCTGCTCTGCCTCCACCATGTGACCCTCCCTCATCTCTCCTGACGCCAGGCATGCCCTGCCCACTGTCCACCTCCAAATCTTTCACGGTGCCTTCCCTGCACCTTGAGCCCAAAGAGACCCTCCCCTTGTCTGAACTTCTTCAGTGTCCACTACAAGCTTTCTGAATGAGGAGGTGTGAGGAAAAGCCAGTTTGGGGCCAATTCCTTGAATAGAGCTACTGGGGAGGTGGGGGAGCCAAGCACCCCACGCAAACTTACGTAAAAGCCGCTGCTTGATCATGAGGTCTGACCTTCGAGACAGGGCCTTACTTTTTCTGCTTGCCACCGGATCCCCAGAGCCTTGCTTGACACAGCGTGGGTCCTTGGTAAGTAAGTTGTAAACCGTGGCAACGTCCTTCCACAATTAATTTTACAGCCACGGCTGATCTAGAAAACCACTGCCCGGAAATGACCTAACGAGCTTCTATAGCATTGAAAAGGCAGCATGAGAGATTCTTATCCCATTTGCAACACCAGTGGAAACAAACTGTAAACAACATCAGTGACGGGTTCTTACACAATCCCTGAAAACCTACCTTGGTTTCTCGAAGCAGAAATTGCAGGTCTCGTCCACTGAGGATACCATGGTTTTTCACGTAACTGGGAATATTCTTTGTGCTGGAGCCGTACACAGTCGCGTGCACTTCCATGTAGGTGTGAATAATGTCCAGATAGATTTTCTTATTCTAAAGAGGGGACACAAAAGAAAGGCATTTTTTTTCCTTTTCATTCTTGTAACAACCTGCCTCATAGCTGGAGGCCACAGAGACAGAGTTCTTAATATAGAGATTGCAGGAATGTGGCAGTCCAACCCGTAATAGTTCTTTCAAAAGTAATCTGACTGGATTTGGAGGGCAAACACAGTCATCCCGCTGCTGTACAATTCTGCAAGAAGGAACTTTTATGTAGCAATGTATTACTGAATACCAACTATAGCTCAAGGCCAATTGTTTTAAAGTATTATTCTCGCTTTGTAAATTACCAGGGACCCAACACTTTGCATTTGGCTCCTCAGCTTATGGGGGAGGAAGTTTGGGGAAGGAAAACCCAGAGAAGGCAGTCAGTTGGCCTAGAATATTTATCTGGAGAAGCTAAGCTGTCCCCGAGGAACGCAAACATCCCCAGCTCTTGCCAGTATTTCTAGTGATGATTAACGCATGTTGTCAGAACTGGATCCCACCTACTTGGGATGAGGGGGAGACGAGAGTTTCCCACAATGCACACTGATTGACTTGGCAGCTGGCGAGATAATGAGCATATCCAGGTAGACAAAAATGGAAAAAAGATTAAACGTATACCTTGATGAACCCTGAACCATTCAAAAGTAGTTTTATTTTTATTAGAAGCAAAACAAAATCCCTTTTCTGTACTGAATTTCAAGGCACATTTTCTAAATCAAAACCACCTGTGAAGCGGAAGCGACTCACTTTCGCTTCCTCTTCACGTTTCTGTGTGACTAAGTAGCACAAGCTGGATTTTGTAGGTTGCTTTTTCTTTTCTTTTCTTTTTTTTTTTTTAACTTGAAAGATTCAAGTTCTGTAATGTTTTCCAGTTGTATAAAAATGGGACGAGTTTTTTTCTCATTCTAAGCCCGTTTTCACACACTCCAGGAAAATGTATTAGTAGCCAACTCTATGAGTAAAGACCACAAGGGATGCAGGGGTGTGGCACCAGCAGCCATGGAGCTCAGGGAAGGGGGGAGGGTTGCAGCATGTCCCAGCGTCCTCACAGTGTTCTGAGCCGGACTCAGGACATGCCCTCTGCCACGAACTGCCCTGGTGGAGAATATTACAACGGGCTCTCCATTTTGTGGGATGCATGTTTCAAATCACGTATCAAAAGTCTTCGTGGCTGGAGAAACAGCCTCGTTCCAGTTCTCCATCCTATGCACTAAGATGATTTTGTTCAGAAGCAGCCACATCCACGCCTGCACTCTAATGTATGCATGAAATGAACACTTGGCCTGAAAGTTTAATTTCATGCCATGTTTGGTATGGCTCAAAGATGCTAAATTCATCACTCAGAGATGTATACCCTTGAATTAATGCAGAGGTGACTAGAAAACAGTTTCTAAACCCTGACTTCCCATTCACAGCTTTAGTCAGATTCAGTATCACCTCCTTGATATACATTAATTTGAGGGGTTCTCAGATATGGGTCTTGTGCTGCATGGACCTGGTAACTCCTGTCCCCACAAATACCCTTCTCGGGGACTCCAACCCCGCCCACAGCCCCTGGTGGGGAGGGAGGGGATTCTGTAACCCTGGCCCCCTGCCACTGCTGACCAGCCCAGGCTGTGTCTGACCTGAGGAGGACCCACCTCTAGGCTGGCCAGGAGCCTAGGACAGGGTGGCCATGCTGCAGAGGGTGAGCTGAACCCATCAGACCTTCTGTCAGGAGCTCAGAAGCCAGTACACAGAGAGACTCCTGCCAGATGGCTGTGGGCTATAGAGCAGAAAGGTCACTTGGTGTTGGGAGTCTGGGTGATTATGAGCCAGATACAAGTTCTGAAGAAGGCAGCTGCCAGTTCTGGGGGGTGGAGATGGAAACAGAGCCAGGTGAGAGTTGAAAGGAGTAAAGGGGAAGACTGAGACAGACAGCTGATAATCAGAGGGACCCAGATAGTGACTGAGACCAAGTGACAGAGAGACAGTGCATTCGAGAGAGAAAAGGAGGAGGAAAGAAGATGGTGGGAGCCAGTGAGGAAAGCAAGCAGAGTCTTGGAGGAGAGAAAACCTGGTCCTCGAGCTGCTTCTGGGTCCCACTCCATCCATAGCTGTTCCCTATCCTCAATTTCCCAGATCTTCCTGGATTCTTCCAACTATAATAAAGGGCAATCCTATCATCCAAAAGGAGACTTGTCGGGATGTCTAGTTGGGCTTTGATCAGGGACCAGGCAGGCATCTCTCCTTTAAGCAAAAAGAGACGCTTCCCTATGAAAAGCCAGTTGCTAACTAGTGAAGATGGACCAAAGGACCCTGAACTGGTTCTGCAGTGAGGGACAAAGAACAGTGAATGGCCCACCTGGTTCCTGTCCCGGAGGATACTCACCTCAGACAGACCTAAGATTACGATTCCCAGACCCAGTGCCTGGGGAATGAACAATATACAGGATACAACACAGGTATTGCCATCAACTCCAGGAAAGGTGGGCACTCCTTGAAACACAGCAAGGGGGGCAGGCTCAAGCAAATTAAAAGCAGCATACGCAGGGGCTAATAATAAAATCTGTGCATTTATTAGCATGAAGGCCTGGTCAAGTCTGAAAGGGGAAATTACCTTCAGAGAGAATTTATGTAATTTCAGGAACAAGAAAATCAAACAGGGTAACAGAGGAAAACAAACGTTTCCAGTGTAACTCTAACCTTTAAAGCCAACCTGACAACCGGGTGATTCAGCCCAGGCTTCTTGTTGCCACCTGTGCCGAGTGCTGCAGAGATCTGGTGAGGGCGACTCACATCACAGATCCCAGGGCAAGGGGCACTGGAGTCCCCCACACCGAGCTGTCTCCCTGCCTGAAGGTAATGCTCACTGGATGCTATGGGAATCCAAAGTGCCAACTCTACCTTAGTACCACTGCCTGATTTTCAAGTTCACATGTCCAACGGCCTCCTGAACCTGTCTACCTTGCTGGGCTGCAGGTACTTCCAACTCAACAGGTCAAAAAGGGGATCCGTCACCTTACATTCCCAGACTAGCCTCACCTTACGTGCTCCTCATCTCAGTGATTGGCATTAATCTGCTCCAGATTCACTAGGTTCCTGCACCAGAATCACCCTTGTCATTCCCCCCATCAAAGTGGGCACAAAGCCCTATTGATTCTGCCTCCATAGTATCAAATAGGCCTCGATCCCCACCCACTTTGACGGTGCCGGGATTAATACAACCGGCATCTTAACACATCTCCCTGGGGCTCAAAAAGGTGATGCACCTTGACCAAGATTTCAGCAAGTGAGCAGCAGCTTTGGGACTGACCACAGAACAGTCTGTAGGGCTCAACATCACTTTTGAACTGTGCAAAGCAATACTATGTATATGGACAATGTTTTTTATATGGATATTTGTGGTTAAGTACAAAAATATGCACGGGGATGACAGACTCCACCTTCTGGGTACAGATTACTGAGGTGGCAGGGAGGACTTGGGGAGGTGCACGAGCTTTAATGGTATTTGTAATATATAATTTCCCTGTTAAAAATCACAAAATAGTAACATCTACATATTTGGGTGATGGGTATTTGATATATTAATTAAAACAGAAAAGTTTAAAATGCATGCAATCAAGAACGAAGAGAAACCAGACTGTAGGACTTCAAAGCTGGCACCATTGGCACTTCACTGGAAGGCTCAGGTCCTGCCACGAAGAGAGGCTCAAGGGAACCCCTCCTCTCTTTGATGTACGTTGCTACCTTTGTGTTTAAGAAATAGGGTGCTGATGTTTCTTAAAGCAAGTGCGGCCCTGCCTTTCCTTTCCCAACCCTTGGGTGGGACCAAAGTGGGGAGGGAGATGTACAGGGACGAGGACATTTTCCAGCATCTCCCTCCCTTCCTTTATTTTAGATATTTGGGCCCAGGGTGAAGGTGTTACCATGAACTGAGTGTCCTGGATCTTGGTGATCCAAGAACTGGATTCAGATCACTCCCTAGAAAGCTTTCCCTCTTCGACCTAAGAGACCAAGGTCAAAGCACTTTACCCACTTCCCAAACCCTATCACCTACAAGTTAATGAGATGCAGTCAGAAGCGTCTTGCACTGACTGTCAAACCCAGGCAGGTGGCCACCGCCCCTTTCTGGGGGCTGAGAGAAATGCCTCCAGTCTCAGCTGAGCAACTGGGGAGCCCCAGAACGCGTCAACAGCCTCTAGTTCAATTTCAGTTCCCATTAAAAACAACCAAGCAAAATGATTAAAATTCAAATCTACCTAAACTCATTTGGAGGGGGGGGGGGGGGAGGGGAGATGCAAAGCAAAGGAGACAACATCCTGGAGCAAAGGAGGAATGTTTTCCACAGGTCTGTCGATGCTTGCGATTGTAGCTGGAGGCAGGTGCATTTTCAGAACTGGTCATAAGCTATTCAGAGCTTGAAGACAGAGCTTTAGGAAAACAGTTCAATTTAAAGCAATACTAGCGTGATTCTATAGCAGGGGGAGAGGCAGAAAGCACAAACGGAGAACCACAAGCCCTTTCCTTTCCCAGCTGGTGAATTAGGGGGAGAGGAATGCTCTTTGGCCAATGTCAGCATCGTGAAATATTGGTTGCACTGGGTATTACACACTCTTCTCATCAGCAGTATCCCTGCTCCCTGCTGCAGACACGTACATCCTTTCTCCCAGACCCTACTCCCTTTGTAGGTGCCTTGTCACCTGTCATTGTTTAAAAAAAAGAACTCCACAGCTCTGCCCAGAGTCTGTTGGTCCAGGGAAAGCACCGGATGAGTGCTGAGTCTGTGGGCATCTTTCCAAGGAAGAGCTGATGGGTGTGGGAGAGCCAATCCCTCCCCAGAGTTCAAAGTCACGCTGAGCCATCCAGCATGGGTCCCATCACATGGAGGTCAAGCTCCAGGCAGAGAAAAATGAAGTCCTTGCTTGGACAAGGCCAAAGGCGAGACAGTATGTGTTCCGGCAGGGTCTCGAACCATGGTTCCAGTTATGTCTCAGGTGGCTCCTGGGCCCTCCCCAGGTACCCAG